GAGTGGGAAATAAATGAAGTGGGAATTAAAACAAGTATGTACCTGAATGAAAAGTACTACAATTACCTACAAATGTACACAGATGGTTCTAAGAACAAGGAAGAGTGTGTTGGAGTTGGTATATACATCCCAGAATTTAAAATATCTATTTCAAAAGAGCGTCTGATCAATTATCAGTGTACACAGCAGAAATGCTTGCTGTAATAATAGGATTACAGTGGGTTGAAGAGGTCAGACCAGATAGGGTGGTGATGTGCACAGATTCATTATCCATATTACAAAGCATACAGTCAACAACAACTGCCAGAGAAGACATACTCATAGAACTGAATCACAGCCTGTTAAGACTTCACAGAGGCGGCATAGATCTGCAGTTCTGCTGGGTGCCTGCTCATGAGGGGGTGAAAGGGAACGAGTGTGCTCATGAGGAGGTGAAAGGGAACGAGTGTGCTCATGAGGAGGTGAAAGGGAACGAGTGTGCTCACGAGGGGGTGAAAGGGAACGAGTGTGCTCACGAGGGGGTGAAAGGGAACGAGTGTGCTCACGAGGGGGTGAAAGGGAACGAGTGTGCTCACGAGGGGGTGAAAGGGAACGAGTGTGCTCATGAGGGGGTGAAAGGGAACGAGTGTGCTGATAAATGAGCAAAAAGTGCACGACAAAAGGAAATCACATTACCAGTTCAACTTGGAGAAGGAGAAGGAAAAGCAGTCATTAAGAAGAAAGGGATGGAGATCTTGCAGAAAAGGTGGGAGGAAGACCAGAAAGGCAAAGAGTATCACAAAGTACAAAAGACAATCACAATTAATATTTATAAAGAAAGAAACAGCCAGACTCAGAATAAATCACACGGCTTTGAATGGTACGCTGTATATCATGGGGAAAAGTGACAGTGATAAGTGTGGGAACTGTGGAGTAAAAGAAGATGTAGAACATATCTTGTTACATTGTGACATCTATAAAGCTGAAAGAGAAAACTAAAGGCTAAAGTTTTAGAGGCCGAGGGGTTGGTGTTCTGGGAACAGAAGGAGAGGGAGTGAGAGCTACCAGAAAGGCACTGTTTACCTTCTTGAGTGAAACTGGGGTAGGAACATTTAACATTAGGTCAGGAAAGAATATAGATTTTTGTTTTATTTATTTCATGTTTTTTGTTGATTTATTTGTATTAGATCATAGGTTAAAGAGTTGGTATGATATGATGATTCATACTCATGTACAGTAGGTGGCGGTATGCACCTTTTAAGTTGTTTGCAATCCGCCAAAAACGAAGAGAAGAAGAAGAAGAAAGCCCCAAAGCCAGAGCACGAGAGCAGGCAGGAGGGGGTACTCTTCTCTTCAGAAATTAGATAGAGTCCAGGCACAAGCACTAAGGATATGCTGTGGGGCAGTCAGATCTACACCAGTGTCGGCACTTCAGGTAGAGGTCGGAGAAATACCCATTTTTTTTTAGGAGAAAACAGTTAATTGTTAATTACTGGGCAAATCTACAGGGCCATAAAGATACTCACCCTACTAAACAAACTGTACACACAAGTTGGGAAAGTAACAAAATGAAAAAAGAAAGTGTTTGTGTTTGTGTTTCTGAACTATGTAAAGAATTCAAAGTTAAAGAATGGAATATTAGTCCGACGGTGTTGTTATCAGCTGTTCCACCATGGTTGCTACCTCAACCTATAGTAGATTTATCTTTATTGAAACGGTTACATTCAATGAAAAACAAAATTAATGTACAGGCTTATGTGAATACTGTTCTACATGAACAATATGGGCACTTTATACAAATATTTACTGATGGATCCAAAAATCCAGAAAATGGTCAAACTAGTTGTGCATTTGATGTTCCTGAATTAAAAGTAAAAGTGGGAAAGCGGACGAGTGATCACATCGCAGTATATACAGTAGAGATGATGGCTATCTCACTAGCACTTCAGTGGGTAGAGGAAATACAGCCAATGCGAGTGGTCATTTGCTCTGACTCCAGCTCTGGAGAGTATAAACAACTTCTCTTCAGAATGTCGTCAGGATATTTTACATGAAATTTTACACATCATGTTTAGGTTAGTTCATCTGGGAATTGTTGTTCAATTTGTGTGGGTTCCAGCGCATGTGGGTATTAGAGGGAATGAGGTAGTGGATCAACTGGCAAAATGTGGTTTGAAAGCAAACCAGATTGATATTATGGTACCCATCAGTAGAGCAGAAGTCAAATCTGTTACAAAAGTTGTTATCAAGCAACAATGGCAAAAACTATAGGACAGTAACACCAAAGGAAGACATTTATACCAGATACAAAGGGAAGTAGGAACGGGAAGCACTTGGGGGAGTAGTAGAAGAGAACAGAGCATTAACAGCAGGATAAAAGTGGGTCACTCTGGATTAAACTCATCATTGCATCTGATTGGAAAACATCCAAATGGCAATTGTGATGGTTGCCAACAACCAGAGACAATACATCATGTATTTTTTAGCTGCCCGGATTATATCAGACAAAGACTCATTCTGAAAACTGCACTGGAACAACTCAACGTCAAGGACATGGATTTCAAGTCAATATATGAAAGTAAATCAAGAAATGAAGCAAACAAGCTGATCTTCAAATTCCTCAAAAGCACTGGTCTGAGGACAAGGATTTAGTATAAACATTTAATAAACCAACAGTAGGTGGCGATATATGCTCCAAGAAGAAGAAGAAGAAGGCAGGAGGGCGGTTTCCAGCACGAGTGTTGTGTGTTGTGTTGTTGTGACAGCAGGACTGTGAGGCTGCAGGCCGTCCAGACTGAACAGGTAACATCTTATTTCCGCATGTTAACGCTGTCACTAGCCTCGTCTCAATACCCCTCCTCGACTCCTCCTTTCCCTCAATACCCCTCCTCGACTCCTCCTTTCCCTCAATACCCCTCCTCGACCCCTCCTTTCCCTCAATACCCCTCCTCGACTCCTCCTCGACTCCTCCTTTCCCTCAATACCCCTCCTCGACTCCTCCTTTCCCTCACTCGCGTCCCTTCCTTGCGTCTTAGCTCCGCCTCCGTAAGATGCGAGCGAGAGACACGAGGAGGTGACGCGAGGACAGAGGAGTCCTCAGGTATTAATTGGGATGTCCTCGTTCACTCAAACGTCACTCTTAAACGACGTCTGTTAATTATGACATGTGCACAGCTGTATCCCCTCTCATCGGGCTGAACTGAATAACCCTTTAGAACCGGCCCATTTGTTGTTAAATATGTATTTAAATGATGAATCTTTCTCTTGTTAGTCAAGGAATTCAATGTATGATGGTTGGTCCTGCTTTTGTGTTCCGTTTTGGTGTAAAATGTACATTTCAATAAAATTATAATTATAATAATGTGAAAGCCTTTACTCTGAAAATGTGTGTCCTGTAGATCCCCACATTCACCACAAACACACATTCAGGACTGTGCATTTTAAATAATTTAACTCCTGAATATTTTAACACAAAACAAAACAAATAATTGTTATTGATCAAGATCTAGCCATTTATGAAATAGCTTTCTTAATAGCTATGTTTTAGTGACGTTCAAGATCATTAAACATGACTTAAATTGTTAGTATAACCTTAAGAAATGAATTGCACATAATAATTCCCACGGAGCTGTGAGCACTTAGACATTTATGTGACGCTTTTCCACTCATTCTTCCAGTTCTCCGTTTTCCTCTCTTGAAATCGACCAGCTGTGAAGGTGGGGGCGGGGCTTTTATACGCGAGTAGTGAAGTAAAAAGATATGATTCTACACTGTATTGAAGTAAACATGTATTATTTTGAATTGTATTTTAGTAAACATGTATTGGTTGAACTGTTTTTATGTAATCACAACGGTTTTGGGTAATTATATATAGAAAGGATATTCTTACTTTCAAACTCACTTATCCAGAGATTCTGTGTTTCACACCAACCTTGCCTGTTTTACCCCTAAAAGCAGATGTCGTCATTAAGGTCGTTAAAGACAACATTATATCGCTCCTTATCACCCCTAAAAGCCAGATGTTGTTTTTAAGTCGTTAAAGACATCGTTAAATAGGTGAAGAAAAGTTTAAATGTCTGAAAGAGGATAGTTTATGTGAAGAACTCATGGGAAAGGAATAGAGTTAAGATTCGAAACGGAGATAAGAATTGACTTTTGACCTTAGGGGACTTTGGAATTTCAAGTCCTGGTGAGAACTATTGACCTCGACCAGAAGCGAATCCAGCCAATCAGGACACTTGGGGGAGGTGAGCAGTTTAAACAGCTCCTCCCCAGGGGCTCTCTAATTCGCTTGGGAGGAAAATGGGAAGGAAGAGTCGACAAATCTCCGCCCCAAAAATGGATATGAATACTGATGCTTTTGTATGTAAAAATGCTTTTTGGTTTGGTCAGTTGGTTGGTCCTGATATCTGTGTCCGCATCGCATCACAAACCTGAAGTCCAATTTCTTTTTGTTTGATGAGTGGATGGTCCTGACACCTTTATCCGCATCGCATCACAAATCTGAAGTCCGGAGTACTCTGTATAACTTGTATACTTGTTCTATTTCCTACCAGTAAACTCAGATAATTGTTATAACTTTTGATTCCGGTGGTTTCAATTCCTTTCTGATTTAATAGAGGCCGGCCTCATTCAACGAACGGCGCGGAGAGGGGGGCTATTCAGCCACCAGAAAAGTGTTCTACTCCAACAGTAGTGAAAACACTTCCGCGTAGTCTGCTCTCGTGTATCCTCCCTTTCGTCTCCTCCCTCACCCCTCCTCCCTCCTCCCTCACCCCTCCTCGACTCCTCCGTGTGCATTTCAGCTATTGGGACGTCCTTCAAAATGGCGTGTCTTGATCGATTTCCGGGTCAAGTCCCGGAGGAGGGGAAGAGAGGAGTCGAGGAGGGGTATTGGGATGAGGCTACTATGTCCAGCCAGAGGAGAGGATCCCTGCTAAATTGAAAAAAATGGTTGGATCCTTCTCCTCTGGCTGGTCCACTCACGCCCACACCCACCTCCACCTCCACACCCACACCCACCTCCACCTCCACACCCTCGACATCCTCCCAAACCCTGGCTCCATCAAGTAAGGCAGAAGGAGCATCTTCTGAGGTGGAGACTTGTAAGTAAACTGACACAAAGTACACCTCAAAGTATGCATTTCCTTAATAACTAACATGCGTTATCTTTTTTTTTTACAGTAATCCGAGACATATGGGCAGGGAGGAGGAAGGAGACGCTGTGGGCCAAGTATGGCCCATACAAGGTTTACAGCGAGAACCTCATGGTCTTGGCCCCAGGACAGCAGTTGGAGGGAGAGGTAAGCCTACTTTATAAGACAAAAGTACATATGCAAACTGATAATTCTTTATCAAATGGGATAAAAACATCTGTTGTATTTATAGATTGTCAATGCCTATTTGTCATGGGTGGGTACAAAAGCTGGGGCTTTGATTTTGGACTCGTACCTCATGACTTCCCTCTGGCAGGGAACACATAAAGGCGGTTTAAGAAAGGTGAGTAGAGTAGGACTAGAAATAAGTGTATATATGTACATATGTATGTACTTATATACTTAAGTGTGTACAAATATTTTTCAGTTGGACCTGACAAAACACCATGTGGCAGCTGGAGCCGTCTGTTACAGGGCACACTGGCTACTCATTGTAAGTAATCTAAAAATGTTAATGGATCAAGATATTTCTTTTTATTCAACACTTGACACTTTGTTTAATTTGTTGCACTTCCATAGATCATGTATCTGAGGGAAAACAGGTCCCTGTTCTTGGACCCATTTGGGGCAACCAAAGAACAGATAAGCCGCTGCAAAGACCTGACACGGTAAATCAAATATCAGCTGTAATGTCTTTAGATAAATTCATGCATTCAGGATGTGGGATTATATTAAGGGAGCAACACAAAGCCACATAAATAATGTTCCTGATTACTGCTGTTTAACTTGAATAACATAAGATTGTCCTGTGTGAACATTCAGCTGTTCTTGACTTACAAAGGATTGTATGTCCAAAACATTATCTGTGTTCCCTGTGTAGATTGCTGGTCCGCAAGACAAACCCAGCTGTTGGGAGATGGGCATGCGACAGCATGGATCATCCCAAACAGCAGGACACAGCTTCATGCGGTGTATTCATTTGCAAGGTAACATTTATGAATGTGTATATATAACAATCTGTCATTAAACAATAATACGAAGATACTTATCTCAGACTTTGTTAGCTTTCAGAGCAAATACTATTGGACCAGAAGGTCCAGTACCCTGTTGACCAGGCGGGTGTGGCCTCAATGAGGTTCGACATGGCAATGTCCCTGGTGAACAATTCCGGTATACAGGACTAAACCAGAGAAACCGAAATATCCTGTATTTTTTGGCATTTCACTACATTTATGCCGGTATTGTTTTTTTACAGATGACCTATCCCAGCTGTGTCGGGCCTGTGGGGAACTTAGTTCAGGGTTGACCAAGGGTGACCAATGGGTAAGACGTTGTATTAATTTCCTGACCAACATTTGGCTGGAAGACTGGGATACACCCTGGATAGGTTACCTCAACATCACCGGGTGAACACTATAACAGATATTGAACATTTTTACTTTAATTCACCAGACTTGCATGTCTTTGCACTATGGGAGAACACTGGTGCAGTGGAAGGAACTTGTGAGCACGGAATCTACACAGAAAGGACCACAGATAAGATCCCAACCTATACATTGCTTGTTTAGTTAAATGTTAACAGCGTGATTGTAAAGCGTACTCTGGATGAGTGATGTTAACCTAAAAAATGTTTGTCCATATTCTAACATGTATTATTTCTGTTTCTTTTCAGATTGAGTGCACCGGCTGTACCAAATGGTACCACACATGTGTTGGGCAGCCCTCTATCGCACTGGACTATTACTGCAAAGCCTGCACTTTATAAACACACACACATACGCACAAACACACAAATTCCTTGTTTATGTTCACATGTGGTCCAGGCTGTTGTCATCGCACACTTAAAGCTAAAGTATTACGTTTTCAAAGGCAACTTTTATATATATTTAAAGAAATGTACATACACACCTGTACACCCACTGTTATATATCATTTGGAATGGAATCTAACATACTGACATGGCAAATGGTGGAATGAGCTCCCCATTGAAATCAGGACAGCAGAAAACCTACACATCTTCCGGAGCAGACTAAAAACTAATCTGTTTCGACTCCACTTCGAGCAATAGAATTACTAACAAAGCACTTATATACTAACAAAGGACTGGCTTATCTAAAGCCAGTTGAGTAGCACTTGAAATGTTTTGGCTCTATGAAACCTGATGTACTTATATGATTCTGTTTTTTTCAAGTTTGTATCTTCTTGGTCGAATGCACTTATTGTAAGTCGCTTTGGATAAAAGCCTCAGCTAAATGCAATGTAATGTAATGACAATAACTGTTTGAATGTTCAAAACACTTTTCCAATAAAGTTGTTTCTGAAATATAACTTTCCCTGTTGTTTTTCCTTCTATAACAGTAATGTAGGTTAAAAATGTATGTAAACTAAACTGACATTTGGGAACCAAAAAGTGAATGTTGCAACCTAGGCAGTTAAGCATTTGCAGTGGCGACTGGTCATTAGGGGCAGGTGGGGCACCACCTAGTGTCAGCAGAAAGTATTACACATAATGAAAACAAAAAATGCAAAAAGATGCAAAAAAAGAAATAAAAAAATATATAAAATATATTTTAAGGTCATGTTTAATCATCTGATTCGTCTGTACATTGCTGTTTTAGTCTGTGTTCTTCTAATTAGTGTCTACAGTGCCGTTTTGAGCCATGTGGGACAAAACCTGATTCTGCCCCTCCCTCTCACTGTTTAAGTGAACGGTGACTGTAAAAACTACACTGCGCATGCTCAGAGTATTTTTCAATGGAATGTGTGTGGCAAAAAAAAAAAGGCCAAAGGGGCACAGAGCTGCCATCCCCACCATACGTCAGCTCACATTATTCAGAACTGATTGGCTGTAAATATGTCACGTGTGCAGTGCTGCGAAACGTCACGTGTAGTGTGAAGAGAAGACGAGAGAGCAGCATATAGCTAACATCACCAGCGATTAAAAATAAGTAAAAAACGGAAAGAAAATGAATGAAGTTGACCATTTACTGGAGCACACATTTGAGACACTTAGTCTCGGAGAGAAACTGGAGGTAAAGCGCCTCGGTGCCCACCATCCACCGGATTTCCAAATGGTCCAGACTGCGGGCAAAGTGAACCGCGGGTTTAATGCTGAGTGGTTTGCTAAAAAGAAATGGCTAACGGCGAGCATCCAGAAGAATTCCCTCTTTTGCTTTCCTTGCCTGCTTTTTGGTGAAGATCAAGGTACTTGGTCGAGGACAGGTTACAAGGACTTAAAGCATCTTTCGGAGAGGACAATGAAGCATGAGAGCAGCAACAGTCACTTGGAAAATGCCGTAAAATTGGGATTACTGGGAAGGGTGAATGTTGCAGCTCAGATTGACAGCGCCTACAGACGCGGCATTGATGATCATAATAGAAAGGTGGAAGAAAACAGGTACGTGTTGGGTCGGATCATCACCTGTATTAAACTGTGTGGGAAATGTGAGACAGCACTGCGGGGCCACGACGAGTCGGCGGACTCTCTGAATCCAGGGATATTCAGGTCAATTTTCGAGACAATGTGTGAGGGCGATTCCAGGCTTCGACGGCACTACGAAGCTCAGCCCGTTTTCAAAGGGACATCAAGCACCATACAGAATGAACTCTTGGACTGCATGTATGATGTGTACAGGGAGGAAATATCCAAGCAAGTGGACAACACATCATTTGTTGCCGTTCAGGCCGACGAGACAACCGATGTCTCATGTAAATCGCAAATGGTGATTGTGCTGCGATACATTATGCCTGACCTCACAGTTACAGAGCGTTTTTTGGAGTTTGTGGAAGTAAAGGACAAAACTGGTGTAGGTCTCTCTAACAGCATCAAGGCTGTTCTTGAACCCCTGAAGCTGAAAGAAAAGCTAATCGCTCAGACCTATGACGGGGCGGCCGTCATGAGCGGTAACGTGCGCGGGGTACAGACGGTCATGAAGGAGACGTACCCAAACGCTCAGTTTGTTCACTGCTACGCCCACCAACTGAACCTGACCCTGCAGCAACTGTGTTCAGCAAGGATGAGCATCCTGAAGGTGTTTTTTGCAGATCTAACTGCTTTTTCCACTTTTTTCTCCGGTGCTCCAAAACGTGTTGCAGCTCTTGCAGAGGCAACACAGAGACGCATACCACGGCCACCGGCTGTGAGATGGAACTTTAAAAGCAGAACTGTGAACGCGGTTTGGGAGACCCGAGAAGCACTTCTTCAGTGTATGGACCATATACGCACACAACCAGGATGGGATGCGGTCACCATAAGTGAGGCATACGGCCTGTCAAAGAAACTGCGGGACCGAGCATTTATGCAGCTCCTGGAGTTTTTTTCGTTGCTTATGCCAGAAGTGGATGTTTTATACAACACTCTGCAAAAACGAAGCATCGATGCACCTGGGATCAACAGCGCGCTCTGCCGCTTCAAGGAAAATGTCCAGAAAATGAGGCAGCAAACTGATGCATTGGCCGCCACCACTCATGATGGAACAGACGAGCCAGGCCGACGAGTCAGCAGCACAGCGCCGGTAATGAAGGAGGCATGTGACACAGTCATCTCACAGGTGGAACAGAGGTTCTCACAGAGTGACCATTTGATCGCTGCAAAGCTCGTTGACAGCTCATTCTTCCCACAGCATGTCCTGTCATTTCCTACACCTGAGCTTGACTGCGCAGTGAAATTGTGGCCTGCTTTGGGAAACAAGGAGAAGTTGAAGTCTGAGCTGACCACGCTCTACCGCCACAGTGAACTTCACACTGGAAACACTGCCCTGTCTCTGTTGAAATCCATTCACGAGAACAACTTGGAGGATACGTTTGCTGAGACTGTTATTTTGGTCAAAATAATAGTAACAACTCCGATGACGACATCCGAGTCAGAGAGGAACTTTTCCACCCTCAAAAGGATAAAGACTTTCACTCGCAACACCATGGGACAGCTGCGACTTAACGCATTGGCCATGCTTTCAATTGAAAGCCAGTTGATCCAGCAACTACAGGACTTCATCCCCAAAGTGATAGAAACATTCTGTCAGAGGAAGGACCGCCGTGCCGCTTTTCTTTTCAAGTAAGCCTTCAGCTTTGGAAAGTTCATTTATGTCATATATTTTGTTGATCTTCTGTGTTTTGCCTCCGCTGGATCGATTGATATTGTGTCTGTGTTTTCCTTATATTTACAGTCTATGGTGTTTTAATGCTAAAGCATTATGGTGGTTGTTGTTGTTGTTAAGAATTGCTTTGTGATGGTGCCCTTTACTTATGTATTAAGGTGCATTACAATATGACATCCCCACGCTGTGTACCGTACATTTACGTACACAGTGTACGTAAATGTATGCGCTGACAGTGTTGCTC